AAAATTAGCTAGGCATGGTGGTGCATGCCTGTAATTCCAGCTACTCAGGAGGCTGAGGGATGAGAATCACTTGAACCTGGAAGGTGGAGGTTGCAGTGAGCTGAGATCAAGCCATTGCACTTCAGCCTGAGTGACCGGAGACTCTGTCTCAAAAGAAAAAAAATACCCATATAACAATGCAGAGGTACTGCTTGAAGTGGGCAGGGAGTCTTGGAGCTGTACCCCTGTTTGTTCCCCATTCCGTTATAGTAGACTAAAGGCATCTCTGTGGTTATCTGTGGCATACAATTTGACCCATCCAACCCCCACTCCATAGGTGAGATACTGCTGGCCAGTGGGGTAAAATGCCACAGCCTGGATCATGCCATTGGTTACTGGCAGAGCTGGTGCTGGAACTTGAAGCAGCTGCCTCTAATCCTAAATTCACTTTCTCTTTTGTTTTCTCTCTCTCTTTCCTTCCTTCCTTCCTGCCTTCTTTCCTCCCTCCCTCCTTTCTTTCCTCCCTCCCTTCTTTCCTTTTCTCCCTCTCCTCCCCCTCTCCCCTCTCCCCTCTCCCCTCTCCCCTCTCCCCTCTCCCCTCTCCCCTCTCCCCTCTCCCCTCTCCCCTCTCCCCTCTCCCCTCTCTCTCTTCTTTCTCCTGAGGTGGAGTATTGCTGTGTCACCCAGGCTGGAGTGCAGTGGCTCCATCCTGTCTCACTGCAACCTCTACCTCCCAGGTTCAAGCGATTCTCCTGCCTCAGCCTCCTGAGTAGATGGGATTACAGTCACCCACCACCACACCTGGCTAATTTTTGTATTTTTAGTAGATACAGGGTTTCACCATGTTTGCCAGGCTGATCTCCAACTCCTGACCTCAAGTGATTCATACACCTCAGCCTCTCAAAGTGTTGGGATTACAGGTGTGAGCACCATGCCCAGCCTTAGATTCAGTTTCTACCACACCCACAGCTGCTCTCAGAAGCAATTACTTTGTTATTTTTAAGCCCTGGAGATAAGGAAGATGAACTGTCTGCAAGCTTGAGGTCTGGCCCACACACAGGTGAGATTCATTTTCAAATAGGACATCAATAGCCACTGAGGGCAGCTCCCTGGGGACTGGGTGGGAAACAGTGTCACCTGTTTGCACAATTAACTCAGTTAACTTTGGCAGACCTTGCCTGGGTAAATACTCGTATGACCCCAGTGAAGCCTGACCTGACGCGCATCATTTCATTTACAGCTGTGTGGTCCCTAGAGTGTGCTCATCTCCCTAACCCAAGGATTCCCTGTAACCTGGATTCTACCACCGCAGAAAGGAGAGGGTGGTGTGCAGAGGAATCTGAGGAGACTCAGAAAAGGCACCCTCCCCTGCCTCTGTGCCTCAGTTTCCTATCAGTGGGCTTGGGAGAGCAGCTCTGGAACAAGGAGCCAGAGAGTGAAAAACACTATGAAATCCTCAGAAGAAAGTAATTTGGTCACTATTTTTTCTTCTGGAGGCAGAGACACTGTTCCCCAAGTCCTTCTTCACCAATGCTGAAAGAGCTCCTCTGCTCTGTCCCCTCCCCGGCCTGTCACTCACATTAGCAGATCATCCCTGCCCCTCATCTGCCACCTGGTCACTGTTACCCACACCTTATGTTGCCACTCTGGTAGAAGTTTGAAGAATAGAAGTTTATTTTTTAAAGAGGGTCCTGGAGGCAGCCTCCACAGCAGAAAAGTTACAACCTCACACAGCCAGCTTAGGGGGATGCCAGGGATGCCAGAATGTGAGACCAAACCCCAGTGTCACCAGGGCAAGGCTGGGCCTGGTGCCATGGTGCTGACATGCTAAGATCTCTCTGCTCTGGGAAAGCTCTGCATTGGTGTCACCTGTGCAAAGCAGTGCTGAGTGCCAAAGTCAAAATCTCTGTGGGAAGAAAGTCTCCTCCAGTCTTTTTGGTATGGTGACTCTCATCTGCACAGATCATCTTTATACACTGTGCAGGTTGTGGCCTGAGATTTGGGACATGTGGCCACTGCCTCCACGGCTCTCCTGGCACTGGGTGGACACCATGAATCTTAGCTCCCTGAGTCAGGGACCCACTAATGTTCTGCAGAGTAAGCTGCTGCTGGACTGGGCTTGGGACCTACTTGCTGCCTTGCCCCTGGGGAGAAGGAGGGGTGAGGAGGAGTATAGGGACTCCTGCTGCGGGAAGGAAGTGTGTAGGTCCTTCTCTCAAGGGCTCTGGCCTTGGGAGGTGTTCAGGAGGGATTTGGGAGGGGGAATAGAAGGCTGGCAAATGCATTCAATCTCAGGAAAGAACTGGCTGAGGCCAAGCACCCACAATGCAACACTGGTTGAGGCTGAGACCTCCCATCCCCTTCCTCTTTGTCTTGGCGCTGCCCAGGTCTTTGCCAGGTCTTGGCACTTCTGTCTCCACTGCTCACAGACCAAGGTGAGGACACAGTCAACAGCCTTCCCTTCTAGACACCTCTCCCAGATTATCTGATCTCTGCTAATTAATGCTTTTGATTCCCTGCCCCTTTTGTTGCCCACAGGACGTAAGTTGACCCTTCAGCTCAAGGGCATCTTCCCATCCTAGGCAGGCACAGCTGCTTGGGCAGGGGAGGCTGGAGGCACAGGTCCTAAGACTGACCCTGAGTGGAAAAGGTTTTATGGAACCCAACCGGCCACAGCCAGTTCTATCCAGCCCATTTTTTATTAATGCAGCAACAAGCCTTTCCAGGCCCCCTCCCCTCAGCTGCCCCAGCCATCGATCGCCCTAATGGCAAGGATCTGCAGTGGCAGCCCTGAGCTGCTCTGTCCCCAAGTCTTCCTGTGGCTACTAATTAGCTGACCTGAGACTCCACTTTGCAAATGGGAAGGTGGGCCCCAGGGGGCCCTGATGGGAAGTGAGAGGGGCTGAGCATCATTCTCCCTCATACCCAGGGCCTCTCTGGCTTGCTCTGTCACTGATCCAAGGCTAAATAGCGTGTGTGTGTGTGTGTGTGTGTGTGTGTGTGTGTGTGTGTGTTATATTCCCAGAACTGAGAGCATAGAGGCCTAGAGTGGGCAGGTGGGATGTTAGTTCTTTCTTGAACCCCAGGTGAGGGGTAGTCTTTGCACAATGGTGGCTCCAGAATTCTGACAAAGGAATTTCTCCCCAGGTAACTATCTCCTTAGAAGGGGGACTAGAGGACTTGACTTGAAGCTGTATTTACAGAGCATACATACTGTTTGGATTCTGATAGGGTAGTTTTTGGGTGGCTGTGGGGACCAAGGTAGTGGAGGGAGAAGATGTAGAGTCTCTGGGGGGGGGGACACTAAACCCCTCCAAGCCTCCTTGGCACCACCACTGTGCTTTTGCTGGGGGCCTATGGCCTGTACACCTGACCCTGGGGGGTCATAGGCACCTAGCATTTTCTAGGGATGCAGTCAGATGACAATATCTGGCAAAAGAAGTCTTGGTTAACAGGACCCAGAATAGCAGCCAGACCCAATGGAAAAGAAAGATTGGCTATCTGGAACCACTAAGGCACAAGAGAGATGGGCAGTGGGGGAAGATATTCTGCCCTTGAATCTACACAAAGCCCTTCCACCCCCACTCAAGTGCTTTGGCACAGACAAGGCTGCTCCTGGCCCCCAGGGGCTGTAGCTCACATAGCACAACCCTGGAAGCTCCCCAAATACTCTCCATGCTGCTCCAAGCCTCCATTTAGGGAGTCAGAGATAAGCTCAACTTTGGAGGAACTCAAGGAGCCTGTATTCCATTAAATCCCAGAGAGAAACCTGTCAGAAGTAACAAAACAACATGAAACCAGAGATGTAAAATGTGAGATACTGTCCATGGCTCCATTTGTTCTGCAGTCTTCTAGAAACATTAAATTATTCATCAGAACAGAACATCAGCATCCCCCACTACCACATCCACGTTATCTGTGGTCCCAGTAACACCGGAGGCCCCCGTCTGCTCAGGGGCAGACTCGTAGTATGGGATGGGGAAGGGGCATCTGGATACCCCTGGTTTCTGGGAAGGGTCACACCTCCAGGGAAGGACTGGACAGGGTCTGCGTTCTCCAGGCCATACCAGTAGTAAATCTCAGAACTGAAATTGACTGGAGAGTGGAAACTGTTGAGAAAATGGCCCACAGCACCTGAAGCCAGTTGGGAGCTTCCTGCAAGTCCAGGGCTGTGAACCCCCTCTTCTCCCAATACTTCCCTGGCTCATTTGTAAGTGAAGAATGGCTGCCGATGTTGGGGAGTCGTCTCTGAGTTGGGGACCAGGCAGCTGGTGCTGAAGGATGTCTGGGACTACCCTGTCTCTCCCCACCATCCCTTTCAAAGGATCAATCCTTGGCAGGACCTATCTATCCCCTACCTCACTCCAGCTGCCTCCCTCCTTCCCAGCTCTTCTGCCTGAAGCACTGGAATCTCTTTTCCCTGTGCTCACTTAAAAAAAAATCATTTCAAGGGACAGCTGGAGGAGTTGCCAAGGTCACTTCCCCAGGGACAAGCACCCTTCCTGGCCCTTCCTCCCTCCCTGGCCTGAGCCTTTCAGAAGGGCCAGGTCCCTCTCCATGTAAGGGTGGGTGGTTGGCGGAAGGGAGACTAGGCCTGGTCCTCCGGCCTGAGTGAGGGGTTGTGAAGACAATGGAATTGACAGTGGGGGGTCCCAGGAGGACATCTTTGTCATCTTTGGCTAGAGATGGAGTTTCTCCCTCGCCTCAGTCTGGCCTGACCTGACCCACCTGGGATCCCACCCCGGCCACAGTCTCTTCTGCCCACACCCTACGTTTCCACTCGAGGCTCAGCTTCATTCCATAGACAATTCACCACCGCCCCAGGGCAGGGGTCCCATCCCCGTTGTCCTGGCCCAGACTAAGGTCCACATCTTCCGGCGGGAGCCAGTGTAGAGTGAAACGGGGTGACGCCAAGGTCACACAGGAAGGCAGAGGCAGGACGGCTACTGAAGGGGGTGAAAGGGGTGCCAAGACCCGGGGCTCTCTCCCCACGGTCCCCTCGGGGCGCAAGGGGCACTCACCGCCGGGACCACTTGGCCGACGGCCTCCCGAAAGGCCGCTTCCACAGTACGCCGTAGAGCTGCACTTTGGTGCTGATGTCCAGCGCGTCCGAGTCGGCCTGTTCCAGGGACGGCGAGGGCGACACCGAGTTGGACTTGGACGTGAACATGCTGCCTCAGCGGGGCTGCGCCCGGCCCGGACCCCACCTCCCCCGGGTTGGCAGGGACTCAGGGCGAGGGGCGAGGGCGGAGCCGTCGGGTAGGGTCCCAGCGATCGGAGAAGCGGAGCGGCCCCGGCCCAAAGCTGCCGCATCAAAGCGCGCGGGAGGTAAGACGTGGCGAGAAGGGGGCGCGGGACGCGCAGCCGGCGGCTCGGGCTTGGGATTGCCGAGGGCCGGACGAGAACTCGGCGGGGAGGGCGGCTCAGCCTTGGGCCCGCGGCACGTCTCCCTCCCCCCGGCGACAGCCCCAATTCTGGTGGCCGCGATTGGCTGGGAGTGGCAGGTGAGCCGGCGGGAGGCCTGCCGCGGGCGCCAATCAGGGCGGGCGCCGGCTGGAGGGCCGGGCTTCGTGCGTCCCGAAGGTCTCGGCGGGTCGCGGGGTCCGGGGACCCGGCCGCAGAGCGTCCCCGCCCCCACCCCGGGGTCCCCCTCGGCGTGTAGCGCCGACTTGGAGACGGGGACCAAGTCCCCCTTGGGAGGGGCTCGGAGGCACTCCTTCAGACACCTGCACGCCTCGGGCTGGAGGGGAGGACGGAGCGAGGGCAGAGGGTCGCACACCCGGCCTGGAATTCCACCGCAGTCCCTGTGGCTCCGGGAACTGTGGCGGCCCGGCTTTTCCCGCGTGAAGTAGCGATGCCTGATGCTGGCGCCTCCCCGGACAGGCGAATGGCCGGTAGGACTTCGGGAAGTGCCCGAAGTGTCCGCCGGGGGAGGGTCTCCATCAAGGCTGGGTGCTCCTCCCACCCCCTCAGGTGGATTTCCCTTTGCTCCGCCGCCGCCGCCGCCACCTCCCGCGGATCGGATCGGCTTTCTCCTCCTGGAACTCAGCCGTGCCTGTGTCGGCATTTGGCACTCAACGCCAGTCTGGAGCTATCTGTGCAATGTGTGTCCGTGATTTATCTGCGTGCCTGGCCAGCGCTCCCTGGGACCGGCTGTTCCATCCACTTCCGCTCCTTTCGGAGTTGGCCTTTGGGGTGACCCGCTCATTTTCAGGCCAGCGAGACGCCGGCCCGGCTCCGGGGAACCGCCTCCTCCCGGCAGGTGGAAATGCTAGGCTGGCACAGCTGCCTGCTCCGCGCCACCCGCCAGGCGTGCAGAAGGCGCAGTGAGCGGCCGCCGCCAGACCACGCCGCAGTCGCGCTTTTCCAGGCCGAGGAGCCTGGGCCGCCTCTGGGCAGTCAGGACTTGCCCCACTCAGAAGGGAAAGGTAGGAGACCCTCTCCGGGTCTCTGACTTCTCACTTGGGAAATAAAGGAAGTCGGATTGCAACAGAAGTTTGCAAATGACTAGCCCCAGAACCAGATCAGTTAGCAGACAGTCTTTATGAACTTGCCCAAGTTTAAAAATTGAGTTATACTTGATGGTAAAATGCACAGATCTAAGTTGTTTCTTTGATGAAGATGTAACCCCACCCAAAGCAGCATACAGAACATTTCCATCACCTGCAGTTTCTTCGTGTCCCTTTATAGTCAATCAGCCCCTGCCCCTGCCCGCCCCCCTCCCCACCCCGCCAAACAACCGCTTGTATCATTCTTACCACCTTTGCACAGTAGTCTTAAGTTTTGAACGTAAGGCCTAAAGGGGCATCCCCACAGTCCCCATCATTCCCTATTGTCTGACCTGCCTGGCCCCTATCTGCAGGCGTTTGGATGTGTGACGCCCACTAGATGTTCCCCAAGGCCATCCTCGATTTCCCATTTTATGACTAGCTCATCACCACCCTGGCACCCTTCCCTTAACCCCTCTGGGGTTCCCAAGCCCAGTCAGCACCCTGTTGTTGCTCACTGTCCAGAGATGCCCATCTGAATTCTGTGCACCTCTCTCACGGCTCAGGAACCCTTCTGAACATCTCAAGCCAAGCCTTCACAGAGGGCCCTAGGTCTGGGTCCCTCAGGTGGGAGGAGATGGGACTGAGAGCCCAAGGCCAGAGTACAAAGTGGACATTTTATATATATATATATATATATATATATATATATATATATATTTGTCTATTTCTGATACATGTTCTAACATTTGGAAATTTTTCCACTTTTGGAACGCTGTTTTCTTTTTCCTCTCCTTTTCTCTCTCTCTTCCTTTTTCTTTCTTTCTTTCTTTCCTTCCCTCCTTCCTTCCTTTTTCTTTCTTTTCTTTCTCTCTCTCTCTCTTTCTTTCTTTCCTTCCTTCTTCTTTTGATGGGGTCTTGCTATGTTGCCCAGGCTGGTCTTGAACTCCTAGCCACAAGTGATCCTCCCACCTGGCCTCCCAAAGTATTGGGATTGCAGGTGTCCTGCTTTTCTAAGATGGAAGCTAGAAAACTTGTGTTAGGAGCCTGTGGTCTGGAGTTCACCAGTCAGGGGCACCTGACCTTGAGTTGCAGGTGACAAACATGAGGACAAAGCATACACAGGTGTGCACTTTTCAAGGGAACATGGTGGCACCCACATCTGACGTGCTTTGGGTAACAGCTGTGTGCTCCTGGGGCGGCAGCGGCCTGTGCGGTGGGTGCCGCAGCAGTCACGGGGAGGTGGGGTCCTAGCAGTGCACAAACAGCACCAGCAAGAACTCGCAGGCAGCTGCAGCATTCTCATCCAACAACTGTGGCAGCACGGTCTTGCATATGCTTCCTGGAAGCTTTCCCTCAGGCCTGGCTCCCTGGCTCTCCCAATATCCTTTTAGTGCATTCATTTCTTTTCTGCTGAATCAGTTCAGTTGCAGCTTTGGCTGCTGGAGTAGAGGACTAGTGGTGAGCTTGTGAGCCATGGGTCAGGGAAAGGCAGGATACCTGCAATCATTTGAAAAAAGTCCTTCACAGAAGGGCCCAGTGAGCCCAGATAATCCAGGGGAAGGCTGATTTCTTCAATGGGAGAAATGGAGCACAGGTTTCTTCAATGACACAGAGAAACTAATCTTCATGTATTCCCTCTGCATGCAGGATCTCTGGATGGACCTTAGGTACTAGCAGTTAAGGCTGGGTGGAAGGAATGCTCTGAGGCAAACAGCAGGAGTTTAATCAACCACTAGATACTTGAGTGGCTTCTGTTCCCCTTGACTAACCAGCACAGACCACGCCAGGTCAGCTTTTGGAGAAGCTGTTTCTGCTTCCATTGTGTTCTCTACCCCAGCTGGTAGGAGTGCTGAATGCCTGGCTGAGTTCTGCAGAAGACAGAACAAGACAGGTGCCAATCCAGTGCCCCAGACCAAGTGGGTCGGGACTGCCCAATCCCGCCAGGAACTGAGGCCCATCAGGGGTGATGCAGAGCTGATGTTCTAACACATTCTTTACAATGGACCCATTTTACTGAATTTTTTCAATAGACCTATGAGGTATAAACATATTATTTTTAGTTTTCCAGATAAGAAAAAGTTCAAAAGAGTTGTCTACCTAAGTCACATAACTAGTAATTTCCTGGAACATGATTTAGGTCCTAAATATGTGTTGAATGAGGGCAAGTGGCTGGCTGAAGTTTGGTCTGAGGGCTAAGCCCTTCCCCTTCCCCTTGCAGCACACTATCATGTGAAGCCAAGTGCAGTCTAGGAAATACTACACCACTTCCAGTCTTTCCTCTTTTTTCAGGAATTTTTCTAAATTGTCAACTCACCTAGGGCTTAACTTCCCATAGAACTGAAGATGCAACTCTACGTGTGCTATGAAATTCTAGATGTGCTCAGGGATAGACTCCTAATAATGAACATACTTTTTGTTGTTGTTAGAGGCAGGGTCTCACTCCCACTCAGGCTGGAGTACAGCAGCAGTGATTATAGCTCACTGTAGCCTCAACCTCCTGAGCTCAAGTGACCCTTCCATCTCAGCCTCCTGACTAGCTGGGACTACAGATGCATGCCACCACATCCTGCTATTTTTTAAAATTATTATTATTTTTAAGAGACGAGGTCTCACTATCTTGCCCAGGCTTGAACATGCATTTTTATGATGTTGCTTTTATCCATAGTCTGCAGGCTGATTTGATAGTCACTATTGTTCCATGAAACAAGTATTAACATGGCCATTTTAAGTGACTAGCCCATGGTAGAAATGCAGTATTCATAATGTGTGAATACTGCAGGCAATCTCTCTCTGATCTTATACTTCAGCCTGGGCGTGGTGGCTCATACTTTTTAGGTTGTTTGTGATCAGTGGTAAGCGGGCACCAGCTGACTACAAAAGTGTTTTGAGAAAATACCAAACACCTGTTTGTTAATAATGATCACTTGTTCAGAGAGAATAAATGCGTGTGTCAGAGTCTACTAGGGCCTTCAGCCTGGAATGCTGTCAGCCCCTGAGGCTCTCAGCTCGGAAGGGTGCTGGCCCCCCAGATAGACCCACTTTGCTGTTCTATCTGGGTATCTGCCTCTCATTTCCTTCAGTGCCGCCTGGGTAGGATTCTCTATGGCCAAGCTGGTACCCTTGTTATCAAATAACTTCTTTTGTAATGGCTTTTCTTTTAAAAAATTTTTATTATTTTAAGAGAGGGTTGCTCTGGGTGGAGTGCAGTGATCCCATCATAGCTCACTGAGCCTCAAACTCCTGAGCTCAAGCAGTCCTCTCCTCTCAGTCTCCCAAGAAGCTGAGATTACAAGTACATGCCAAAACATCTGACTAATTAATTTTTTTTTTAAATAGGGCCTTGGGATCTTGCTATGTTGCCCACGCTGGCCTTGAACTACTGGGCACAAAAGATCCTCCTGTTGCTGGAATTATAGTAGGTGTGAGCTACTGAACCCAGCAGTGATGCCTTTTCTTTGAGATGGAGTCTCGCTCTGTCACTCAGACTGGAGGGCAGTGGCTCGATCTTGGCTCACTGTAACCTCCACCTCCCAGGTTCAGGTGATTCTCATGCCTCAGCCTCCGGAGTAGTTGGGATTACAGGTGCATGCCACCACATCCAACTAATTTTTGTATTTTCAGTAAAGAAAGGATTTTGCCATGTTGGTCAGGCTGGTCTCAAACTCCTGACCTCAAGTCATCTGCCTGCCTCAGCCCCCTAAAATGCTGGGATTACAGGTGTGAGCCACTGTGCCCAGCAGTGATGCCTTTTCTGATGCCACTTCCTCCTCCCCTTGGTTGAATTATATTCCTAATTTGATCGTATTTCCTAAGACCAGAATGGGCCTTAGGCTCCTCTACGTGTGCAGGGCTGGGTTTCCCCCAGGGCAAGCCAGGGGAGAGGTGAGGTGGGGTAAAAAGCACCACATAAAGGCGCAAAGCCAGTAGGCCAAAGGACTATGGGGGAGGAAGAGCCATGGAGGCCGTGTGAGCACAGAAGACTAGTTGACC